CAAGCCACCAGGTCTGGGATTCGAACCATGGTAGGCCATGTGAGAGTGTCCAGCACTTTACCAACCATGCCGCCTGCTGGTCTCCCATCCTATTCTTAAGGAATAATAAATCAGAATAGATCACATATATTCAAGGATAAGTAAAGGAAAATTTAGGATAATGCTTAATAAAAAATACTGTTGAAAACATAAAATATAATGTCACCCTAACAACCTAGAGGACAAACATGCATTCATGAAATATATACTATAGAATCCTGAAAAAAGTGTCTGGAAATTGATATCCACAATGTGACATCAGAAAATAACTTCAAAACAGTAGCTACAGGTCATGAGAGAATATAAAGTAGTTGGAAAATCATAGGATCACATTAAAATAAAATGAGTAAAATAACTCAGAACTTCAAGTAAACCAGAAATAGAATAATAGAAGTAAAATTCACTATAGATATCACAATAAATAGAGACAATGAAATAGAACCTCAGATTGAGGAACTCTTCCTGAAGAAAATAAGAAAGAGAAAAATGATGGGAAAAAAGATGACAGACATAGAGAACAAAGAATAGAAACCCAAACAGATTATATTCCTGAGGAAACAGACAAGTAGGATAGAGTAAAACACTTATTTCTTAATTTATACGTTTAATTGCTTAAAATAGTATAAAAGATTGGGGAATAAGTCTTAAAATGAAATTAGGTAAAGGGCTAGAAGAACCATCATGATGGCCAACCTTCTAACAATTGAGATGTTAATAGTTTAGCATTAATGGTGACTTTAGAATGATCATTCTTGATAGAAAAGATATTTACTTTTCAAGTTATTCAACAACTTTATAAATTAATTTTATTAAGATTCTGATATTCTCATGTGAATTTCTCCATTAAGATGAGAACTATATAATTTACATATTTATTTCTCCTTATTTTAAAAAGGAAGAGTGAAAAGACAGATATATGGATGGAAACGATATTTGACCAACTTCAAAATCCCCCCCCCATCAAATTTGTCTTTTTTTTCTTTTTTTTTTTTTTTTTTTTTTGGAGAGTTTGTCTTTTTTTTTTTTTCTATATGGCATGCATGCTCACCAGAAAGACAGAGAGAGACAGAAAGCAAGAAATCACCCCCTAGGTGGGATGACCATGGGGCAATCCTTTCTCTTCCATTACTCCTCTTGGGATCTTGGGCATGCACGCACATACCCCTGGCATGAGTTTAAGCCACTGGGTCCATGACTCGAACTGCAGTCGGCTACATGGGAGTCCAGCAACATAGCCATTACGTCAACTGCTGGTCCCACATTTGTCTTATTTCACAATTAAAGTTGGGCAAAATATTCTTAACTTCCTGAAATAATTTGGTACTATGTTTTTTAAATGTTAATGTTAAAGATAATTTTCAGTGCCTAGGAATACAGAAAGTTGTCATTTGAGAGGCAGATATGGTTGCTTTCATACGATTTATGAATGAAAAATGTATTTTCAAATCAAAATGTATTTTGATCCCAAAATATATAAAAATATCAAAGTAAATAGTGACTTGCAAACAAAAAGGGTTAAAGTTTTAAAAAATATTACTCTTACTCCATTAGAGCTCTTAGAGATTTTTCATTGAGAATTTAATAAATGTCTGGTGAGAGTGATAATTATATTGATAATAGCTAGTAAGATAATTAATATTACCTTTAGTTGAAACTAAAGGTCAGAATGACAAGTGGATTGAAAAGCATGTGGTAGAAATATACACTATGGGGGGACACCAGCAGTTGGTGGAATGGCTATGTGGCTGGACTCCTATGTAGTTTACTGCAGTTCGAGTCCCAGACCCAGTGGCTTAAACTCACGCCTGGCATGTGTGCATGCGTGCCCAAGATCCCTAGGGGAGAATGGAGGAGAAGGGATTGTGGTGTGGCCATCCCCTCTTGGAGGGTGATTTCTTGCTTTCTGTCTCTCTGTCTCTGTCTTTCTGGCAAGCGCATGTGCCCTATAGCAAAAAAAAAAAAAAAAAAAAAAAAAAGAAGAAAGAAATATACACTAATACACTATGGAATACTACTGAGCCATAAAAAAAAAAATGAGACCATAACATTTGATAGAAAGTGATAAGTGAAGCAAGCCAGACTATGAAAGTGAGACATTGTATATTCTCACTCAATATATACTGCACTCTATGGCAGAAAGTGAGATATTGGAAGGTATAAAAGCCTGGAGAGCAACTGTGAGTACTGGAGACAGTGTGGGAGGAGGATGGAAAATGGTGGAGGGTGAAAAGGAGGGAATCAGGGGGGAAAAGGAAGAAGTAAAACATTTAAGAAACACAAAATGGAAAATGACATGTATACATATATTATGTATAATATTATCTTTGAGCCAATATCCAGTGTATTCCGGATGGGAAAATTCATTTTGTATGCTGTAATGATATACAGTGATTGATTGGGGAAAAAAAGACAATTAATACAGGCCCAGCCGTAGTGGTACATACTGCTAGGATGTTATACTCCATAGGCTGGGACCACATGGGAGGCTTAATACATGATCCAACCTAAAGGACAGGGAAGGTGGCATGTTCCTGTAATTGCAGTCATTTGGAGATGCTGGGGCAAGAAGATCCTGAGCTTGAGACTTATCTGGGCAACATAGCGAGACCCTGTCTACAAAAGCCTGAGCATGGTGGTACACACCTGTAGTCTCAGCTGGAAAGTTGAGGCAGGAGGATTGTGACATGGTGAGACACTATTAAAAAAAAAAAAAAAAGAAGAAGAAACCAATTAACACAGTAAATCTATTTGTGAAAGGAGAATAAAAAGAAAGAAAATATCAGTGAACAAATCAAATAAGAAACAAAAAATCCAACTGGTATAAATTTACTGAAAATCCCAACGGATCTCATTCTCATTTGACACAAATTCTCACTCCAACTAATTAACAAAGAACTGCTAAAATGAGCATTTATTGGGACCAGCAGATGGCATAATGGTTATGTCGCTGAACTCCCACATAGTCAACCATAGTTTGAATACAAGACATGGTGATTTAAAATTCATGCTGAGTACGTGGGCATGCATGCTCAAACTCCTGAGAGGAGTATGGAGAAGAGATTGCAGTGTGGCCATTCTCTCTCTGTGTGTGTGGAGGGATTTCTCACTTTCAGCCTCTTTCTGGCAAGGGCATATGCCCTATAGCAAAAATTCTCTCTTAAAATAAATGAGCATTTATCTCCATTTGCAAATAAACTACAATCAGAATTTAGTAGAGGAAGGTGGGAGGAGTGAGAAAATAAGGAGAGTGCTCAAGCTAGAAAGCCAGTATTTGAATGGTTGACATTTTATGGTACACATGTGTGTGTGTTTGTATGTTTGTATGTATGTATGTATGTGTAAGATAATTCAATCACATAGGTTTCTTGGTGGTTTGATAAGAATTTCATTTTTCAAGGCATTAGTTATTTGTAGGTGTCAAACATTTGAGGGGTGTGGTTTGAAAGCATTTATAATGGACACAGAATGCTTGCAGATAAGGGGAAGAGGCTACGAGATGGTGTGTCGCACCACAGTTTTTTAAAAAAAGACATTTAATTTATATTTAAAAAAACTGGTAGAACTACTAACAAATATGCACAACATAGTGCAATGTTCAGTGTTGAAGAAGATGAATGTGGGTATATTCTTGATTTGATTATTATACACAGTGTGCATGCCTTGAAAAACCATTCTGTAACCCGCAGATACACATCGATGATATGTAAACCAGAAATCATAATTAAAATACAACAAACAGACAAACACCAAAATATATGGTAGGAGTGAATTGATTAGGAGTTGCCCTGGATTTTCTTGATGCAAAGATTCTAGCTTCTTTATCCAACATGAAGAGTATGGGCCTTGATGATTTTCAAGGTCTTTTAGAGTGCACAGATTCTATGTAATTTAGCTACTCATTGCACTCCCTATTCCTTAACAAAGACTTTGACTCTATTTTTATTGCAAACTGAATGAGAAGCCATTAAAAGTCTTGTGTGTTGTGGGTTCCAGGCATATGGCTTAACCATGCATGAAAGCAACGACGCTCCAAGGACACTGGGTTTGGAGGGCTCAGTCATTTTTATGTCAGAATACAGAAAGGTCAGAATTGTCCAAATTCTTCCAAGGCCTGCTGTGTCTGGTATGTTACCAGGCCTGCTCTCAACATGTCTATCTAATAATAGATCTTTGATATTTTTTTGAGACCACAAAATATATATATATATATATACATTTTATTTTTAAACCCTGAAAGACAAGGGTTGTCCTTGCACTAAAGTAAAATGTGTTTCACATTTTATGTGTTGGCTACGGTCCAAATTAAATAATCTGCTAAAGTCATTAAAGGAATTTAAGACTTTAAGTACTGTTCTTCATTGTTCCTTCTTGCTGGGTAAGATTTACTACTAAAAGAGCTTATTTTTTAAGGGTTTATTTTGGTTCAGAAAGTGTTGGTTAATATATACCTTTGTTGCTGAACTGCAAATTTTGTCAAATGTCCTACTGTTTCCAGTCTATTCCAACTTTTCCCTTCCTTTTGAATCTTGAGTGAATATTTTGTGATTAATCAGTCAGTTAATCTCTTCATTCTTTGTTGAAGATAGCTTCTCAGAGACAAACCCAAGGGCGTGATAAGGGTATTTTATCTTTAAATTGTTGTGAAGTAACTTTCATAAACTATAATCTAACAAAAACAGGGTTGGAGTTAAAATATGGAAAATAATCTTTCTCTGGCTAGTGAAAAATGACTTCTTATTCATGGATCTGTGACTGTGGGTAAAAAACAGAATTATTCCTATTAAGCTTACAAATTACAAATTACATGTCAGTGACTATCCACATGTGAATGTACCTCCTTTGTGACTTTTAGTTTGTAAAAGTACAGTTAATGATAAACTATGGTAACCAGATGGAGAGGAGCATGTGGAATTAGAGTTTTATTTGATCTTATTTGTACTCTAATTCTTTTTTTCCTGAAGGTATGTGGTGTCTTGATCCTGGGACTAGCAATATGGGTACGAGTAAGCAAAGATGGTCAAGAGGTAAGGATATAAACACCAACTGGGCTGCCCCCAAAGTAGTTTACTTTTTCCTGTAATAGTGAAAGTAATGACAAAAATAATAACAAATGAACATTTCTATAGCATTTTTCTTTACTCCTTCATGTAATCCTTTGTGTTGATATGTGGTTTTATAATTTAATTCAATTAGAATTATCTACTACAAGCTAGGCACTGTGCTAGGCATGGAACAATCCTGGAGAGTGGAGGAGATGTTATCCTCCAAATAGGAAGATTTCAATGAAAGCGAAGATCGAAAGAGGTCGAGGTAAAAATTTTCCTCCTTCACTATTTGTTTAAAGCAAGCCGGATGTACAACTTGAGGGTATAGGCCATCTCTCTGCATCAAGAACCATTTTTATAGTGCAAGATACTGACAATAATTTAATTGATCCCAAGATGATAGATCCTAAAGGAAAGAAGGTGAGACATTCTCTTTAGAAGAAGAATTTGATTCTATGTTTTAAAGGAAACAAAGTACAAGGATGAGTTCTATTTACCTGTGACAATTAGCATTGACAGTAACCCCCACTGTGAACATGTGATCATGCTCTCGTAAGCCAGCAGTTCGCCATGGAATCCAGCTTCTTGCTATCTATTTAAGATTAACGTGGCCCATTTTTCTCCACCACACGCTATCTTGTGCCCATCACTAAAGCACTTACTGAGATGTTCACAGAGTTGGAGTAAGCTGATCTCATTTGGTTAAATCTAGTTCCTGCCTCGTTTTTCACAAGTGCTGTTTGTATTGCACACCACAATTACAAATGTGGAAAGTGGGGTAAGGGCAAGAGTCAAGTGAATGAGAAGGCTGTTCTATCCATTTCACTCACCTTAATGCCACCCTGGCACCGTTCCCGGGATTGTCTGCTTCAATGATTTTTTCTCCCCTCTTACTTCATACAAGGTTGGAGAATGGCTTACTTGTTCTTTGTGGCCTGGGCTCTTGTCACTACCCAGGATCACATCTTCTATTGCTGGTCCCCTTTCAACCAAATACAGAGATGTTTCCTCTCTAAGAGGAACTTTGCCTCTTATTTTATAAGATATAATTAAGCCAGCAATTAAGATTTTTTTTCCTCTTCTCTTGAGGGTGTGTATGGGCATCAGGAAAAAACAGAGAGAGAAGGAAGCACCTCCCCTGACACCCCCGTGGAGCATGGTCACACCACAATCCCTTCTCCTTAATCTTTCCCTCCTTTCAGGATTTTGACACACATGCACACACACTCAGTATACTTCCCGAGTTGCTGAGTCTAAGACTGCAACCATGGAGTCAGCCACATGAGCTCTGGCTGCCTGAACCACAGAGCTGGCCCAAGACAATGGATTTCCTATTAAAATGTATTATACCATGATGCAGTTAAATGGCCTTTGACACAGCCTCATAGAAAAGAAAGGTTAGAAGCTAATAAACATCTATTCTGTTTACAAAAATGGGTGAATTTTATAGATGACTTTATCTTTCTTATTTTTTTTAAACTTAAAATGTGCTTTCTACCCATAGAGAACTTGAACACTCATAGTGGCAATGAGCTGCTTTCTCGTTCTGTGTCACCGTTAGGGAGAAATTGAGTGAGGGACTAGTGTGGCAATTCATTGGGAACATCCTTGCTTATCAGGATTTCATTAATTATTTTATGCCAATAAATCGGTGACCTCTTGTTGGCCTGGTGCCTTTGTGTTAGAGTCCAAGAAGGGTATCTGAAGGTGTTCAGAATCGCTGCCATTCTGAACTGGATATCTGACTTTGAGACTCATAATTAGTCACAGAGATTAACAGCCACCTACTTACAGGGTGCTTTGGCCTTTTGAAAATGTGTGTGGCCTCCATTTTATTTTATTTTATCTTACTATTTAATTTCTTGCTGATATTTTCTTTCTTCCCAATTCTCTTGTAAACAAATTTGGTGTTTAGTCTGTTAAGAAATTACACACACTGAATGTATTAGAGGAGAACTGTGGTCCTTGAGAGGCTATTACTCCACATCTGGATATAAGAATGAATTAATAGATTGAGTCAGCAGTTTTGGTTACGTTTTGATTCTTGTGTTCTATCAGTCCTTCACCCTGAACAGAAGTATCTGCTAAGACCTTAGTCAGCTGAACTTATATGAAATTAACTTGGTTTATATTGATCTGAAGTCGGTAACAAGGAAGGCAGGAAAGAGCTGAGTTTTATTAGTCTAAAAACAAAAGAAACAGTTTCAGATGGAAAAAATATGTACATAAACACAGAGAATAAGGATGTCAAAGAAGTGACATCTTTTTCTGCCTAACTGTCTTGCAGGGATACTTTTTCCTCAGTCAGGATAAACCCACCACTGTCAGGAAAAGTATATCAGCAATCATCTTGTCCTTAGGAGATCACTTCTTAATCCAAAGAGGATCCCTGAATATTCTTTTTTCAGGCCCAGCCATTCCTCTTCCTTTAGAAATGCACCTCTTGTTGGGGCTGGCCCGTGGTGGTGTGGTAGCTAAAGTAGCTGGCCAACTCCATAGTTTGAGTCACAGTAGGCCCCAAATCCCAGATGATGGAGAATGGAGAAGGGACTGTGGTATGACCATTCCCCATGAGGGTGCTTCTCTCTGTCTCTCTCCAGTGAGTTTGTATGCCCTCTGGCAAATTTAAATACAAGAAAGAAAAAAGAAAGAAAGAAATGTTCCTCTTTTCTAAGATGCACACAAACACAGTGTTCATCAAAGACAGCATTTAAAACCCTGCTGCGTGCCTCCTGGAACAAACATCTGAACTCAGATTTCTACTTCATTCTTGAGTAAGAATAGCCACTTGTTGGGCTGACTTGGAACAGTGACCATCAGGCTGTTAGCACACTGCCTTCTGGCCAGTCTCTGGCAGTGAGTCATCCTGCCCGGGGCAGTCTCAGAGAAGAACCTCATTGCCTGCTGCCTAAGTACTGGCTGCACTATTTAGGCCTCACATTGATATTTTCTCTGTCATATCTATGCCTGGGCCATCCATCCTAAGTTCTGATAACCAGCTGGTGAGGCTTCAACATTCTCAGAATCTGTAGGGTTTGCCTGTACTGGTTACAAGATTCTACTACTGAGTAGTGAGTCGATAGAGCTGCTTTCTTAAGCTGCTTGTCACATCTGTTCTGACCCAGATGTCATGTCTATTTATGAAGAAAACTGACTTTCCAGCTCAAGTCTTAGTAAACAAGCAGACAAAAAAAGCAATGAACAAAAATCCCCTCAAAATCCAAAAACCTTTAAGACATAACCAGGTTTTCCAAATAAGTACATTGAAACATTATCTGTAAGCATAGACTTTAAGACACAAAGGAGACTTTGAATATCCCAGAGGCTGACCCAATTCCCTTTTGTAAATAGAAAACTGGGGCCCAACAGGTTAGTTGACCATCTCAGGATTACAGACTTAGTTATTTACTAGGCCCGTGACTGGAATAGAGATCATTTTAATATTTTTATAACTTTTAAAAGAATTATTTGCTTCAATTTAATTTATTCATTCATTTATTTTAATTTGACCAGACACACACACACACACACACACACACACACACACACACAGAGAGAGAGAGAGAGAGAGAAGAGAGAGAGAGAGGAGAGAGAGAGAGAGAGAGAGAGAGAGAGAGCAAGCAAGCCATTCTGGTACTCTAACCATGGTCAGCCATGTGGAAGTGTCCATTGCCTTAATCACCTCACCACTTTCTGGTCCCCAATATTTTTATAATTTGAACATACATATTTTTTTTCTTACTTATTGTTGAAAAAAAGTTTCCCCTAGGTTACTTCACAGTCAGGCTAAATAAAGTTTCTGGAAGACTGTATGGACTATATCTTCTGTGAATGAAATGTGAGAGATTGAGAAAATTGATATGAAGGATCAGGAATGAGTTATTTTTATCAAGATGCAAAGCTTTTTTATTAACCCATAAAGAGAAGTTCTCTTATTCCCTTTTTAGTTAATTCCTGCTTTCCCTCCTACCTTAAAGTCAATACTGCTTTAATTTTTATTTTCCTTGCTTTGTTTATTTTTGAAATTGATATAAATGGAATCATGCAGTGTTCACTCTTTTGTATATGGCTTCTTTGTTTCAACATATGATTATGAGATTCATTCATATTATTGTGCCTATCAGTCATTTAAGGTGGTTGACTTTTAAATTTATTAATAGAAAATGATAAAACACAAGCTTCATAATGCAACTTAGTGTATAAAATACAAAACATACAAAGCAATGTTTAAAACAAGTGAAAATACCTGTCCTTCTAAATTTTTTGAAATAGTATTTTAAAGATCTATCACATTTTTAAAAAGTTTGTTAATTTTCTCTATGAGAGAGGGTGAGAACTCCCTTACCGGGATTCATGGGCCTTTGCAAACCTGGCAGTCACAGGGAGGATAAGAACCTGAAATCTTCTCATGTAGGCCAGCCTTGCTGTGTCACGTGTTTACCACAGTGCCACTGTTTGGCTTCCTTTACTACATTTATTTTTTTCCCATTTCCAATTTATTATTTTAAACATCATTCAAGGAAGTCGCATTCCATAGACTATAAGCTCCAGGAGGGCAGGAGTTTTTACTTGTTTAGATCACTGAAGTATTTCAAGGTCCTAGAACAGAGTCTAGCACATAGCAGGTACTAAATGGGTATTCATTAGATGACCAAAATAAACAGTAAGAAAAGGGCCCTTCTGAAATAATTCTCTCTCTCTCTACTTCTAGATTATTGGTTCTGGGGACTCTGACATCACCTCCTATGTTAGTGTGAATATCTTGATTGCGGTGGGTGCCATCATCATGGTTCTGGGGTTCCTGGGGTGCTGTGGTGCTGTGAAAGAAAGCCGCTGCATGCTTCTTTTGGTGAGTTCTCCAAATGCATCCCAATGCCCAAAGCAAGCCTTCAGAATCCTGAGGATTGCTTTCCATCCCCGTTGTCCGTGAAACGACTCGGCAAGGTTTGTGAAACTAACTCTAATTGCTGTTTAGGTTAGATTGCGGAGGCTAGTATGATTATTGTAGGTTTACTGGCTTAGCATGGAGGATACTCTCAAAGAAGACACATTTTATTTTATTCATCCTTTTATTCATTTACTCATTCATTCATTTCTTCAACATTAGTATGTATCTCTATGTACCAGATACTTCACTAAATGATTATACAACCTTAGGACAATTAGAACCTACTGAGGAAGATTAATAAGTAAACAAATAGCTACAGTGGGAGTGACCCCAGAAAAGAAGGGCGGTAATGGAGGAGAGAATTTTCAAGCTAAGAGCAGAAGTGAATAAGGTTGGTATGGGCAAGGCGTCGCACCCTCTAGGAAGAGATACTGCCTGTGTAATGCTGATATGTTTGAGGAACTGAAAGGTTTTGGATGTGGCTGGAGAGTAGGAAAGGCTATTTTTAGTAAATGAGGGGAGATGGGTCTGAGTGTGGACTATGATCATATCATAAACGTATCCTATGTGCCATGCTAAGAAAATTATAAGGAAGTGGGACCAGCAGTTAGTGTAATGGCTATGTCGCTGGACTCCCATGTAGTCAACTCCGGTTCGAGTCCCGGACCTGGTGGCTTAAACTCACGCTGGGTGCATGTATGTGTGTGCCCAAGATCCTGAGAGAAGAATGGAGGAGAAGGGATTGTGGTGTGGCCATTCCCCCTGGGAGGTGATTTCTTGCTTTCTCTCTCTCTGTCTCTCTCTGTCTGGCGAGCGCATGCGCCCTATAGCAAAAATCCTCTCAAAAAAGAAAATTATAAGGAAGTGAGATCATCGGATTTGTCACATAGAAAGCTTCAGGGAGGATGAATTGAGTTGGAACACCTCACAGATATTTGCTTTTAACATATACTGTAGATAATAATAAATGAATAGAGTAAAAAATGTTAGAGAAAAAATCAAGTATTTATCAGATATAAATCTGATACCAGAGTTTACCAGAGTGACTCCAACCTTATTTCTCTCATAAAATAAGTACTGTGTCAGCCCTTGAAAAAGTATTTTAACTACTCATTTATTATTAGGGAATGTTGAGACAGAGTTTAAGTGGGACTATAATCACATCTCTAATGATTGCTTTTTGGTTAATAGATCTCATTTGTAATTGGGGAATTTAATTACTTGAGTTCGTTTTAAGAAAAAAAAATGAATCTATGGGCTTCAAATTATGATTGAGTAGATGTGAGGCAGATTTCAGGAATCTATACAGATAACAAGTTGCCAGGTGTTTCTGATAGTGGTGGAAATTTTGTTTTAAAGCCTAGTCTGAATTTCTGCAGATTTGTATTTGATGAAGAAAGGGAAGGAGAAAAATAATATTCAAATACCTTCATTAAAGATTTCAAATTTCTCTCCATTCAACATCCCAGAAATACTAATAGTCACTAATAGTCCTCTCAACACATTTTAATTTGAACTACTCACAAATGTTTGTGAGTATGACTAGACCCAAACTTTGCAGCTTAAGCAATGGTGGAACAGATAAAGAGTGTGCCTAATCCTCTCCATTTCTTATGGTCCCAGAATGGAGGGAAATGCCCTGCTGAAATATCTGAAGATATGACTGAGTGTACTGAGGGTAATATATATTTCTTTTCCTTTTTTTTTTTTTTTCCAGTTTTTTATAGGCTTGCTTCTGATCCTGCTCCTGCAGGTGGCAGCAGGTATTCTAGGAGCTGCTTTCAAATCTGAGGTGCGTATACAAATGGTGTTTGTTAATTTTGGAAAAGTCAAAAAAGATCAAAATACTACTTTTTAACAAAAATAATTTAACAATATTTTAAAATTTTAGTCTGAACGCATTCTGAATGAGACTCTCCATGAAAATGTGAAGCTTTTGAGCATGACAGATGATGGAAAAGCATTCCAACAAGCCCTGGATGAATTTCAAAAAGAGGTAATTAGAATTTGCAGGTAATTTGGAGAGTTAGACACAGTTCTGTATCTGCTTTATTCTTAACTGGTATACTCTTTAGATATTAAAAAAGTATCCATTTCGCAGACTTTGACTTATTAGCCTGTTACCAAGTGAAAAGAAAAATCCAAGAATATTTGTCATTTTTATAGCTTTCTGCAAAGTTCTGGAATGGCTGAGAAGGCCAGAGGTTAAGAATATATGTTTATGACTAAGCCTTGATTGGGTCAAATTAGTAAGTTTTACTGTCTACCATTTTAAAAGGATACTGGGTTTGGAGTTTGTCCTTCTCTGCTTCTACCACATCCTATCTTTCATAAAAACATTTATAACTAACATTTATTGCTACTTACTATGTATCAGGTTTTACATTTAGTAACTCTTTTACTACTCACAGTAATCTCTGAGGGGATATCTTAGTACACTATTGTGTTGCTTACCGAATTACCTGAGACCCGGGGGTTAGAAAGTCCATAAGAAAGGGCCAGCATCAGGCAAGCCTCTGGTACATCACAATGGTTGACAGAACAGAGAGGAAGGCTGGCGTGTGCAGAAAGAGATAGATTTGAGGGAGTCCATCTTCCTTTTATAACAACCCTCTCTCATGGCAACCAACCTTTTTCTCAAAAGCTAGAACTCACTCTATTGATGTTATCTTGCAAATTAGGAAGAGTTCTAGCTCTTGGGAAAAAGGTTAGTTCTCATGAGAGAGGGTTGTTATATAACATTAAACCTTTCATGAGGGTGATGGCTTCATAATCCAAATACTGCCCTCTGGGACTCACCTTCTAAATTCTCACCATCTCTCAATGACATTACACTGGGGACCAAATTCTAAAATATAAATCTTTGGAAACAAACCACTATCTAAACAATAACCAAATGAGCAATATTATTAGCTTCATTAACCCTATTTTTCATATAAAGAGGTTGGATTTGGAGAGGTGATGAAGTTGGAATTTCAACCCAAATCTATCTGACCAGTCTATTTATTTTTAAATTGGTACATTAATCCTCTCTCTGTATCTTTAGATTAAAGTCAAAACTTGGATAGGCCTTGAAGGTATTCTACTATCTTGCCCCTACCTAATCCTTCTCAGGATCTCTTGAATAATTTGGCCTTCCTCTCTTTGTATCCTTCTCCATCCTTGGAATGTACTTAGTACTTTTTCATTTTGAATACATTTGAAAACTTGACTAAAGTGTTGGTTGCTCCGTGAAAGTCCTAAGCACATCTTTCTTATTGACAATTCTCATTACTTTAATGACATATAGCATTCACTTTACTCATGTGATAGGAATTCTCAGAATCTTAGAAGAGTGTTGTATTTAATAGGTTATTTAATTTGCCTTTTCACTGATTGAAGTATTATGTATTTTTCATTATCCATCTATGAATTAAATATTAAAAAGCTGAAAGTTTACCAGTTTTTGTTCTCTTCCATACAATTCTGACAATTAGTATGTCTTTTCTTAATTTTTGACAATCTTTTGATACTTCTACAGATGACAACTTTTTCTTTGAGAATAGCTGTTGCTTGATTCTTAAAAACTTTGCTTTTTAAGTTGAAACATCCTTGGTTTTTCAAGCTATTTATCAGATGAAATCTTTTTCCAAAGTATTCACCAGTTTCTGTTTGGATAGATTCCAGCTTGTAAAAATTCTGCTTGAAGCATCATTTCTAAGAGCCAAAACCTGATATGGGTCTGTCCATTTAGCTTCCCCTCTGATCTGCTTTTTCTTGTTGTCTTGTAACTAGATCTTGTGATCATCTTCCTTCCTGGATTGTTCCCACTCTAGAGCACAGACTAACACAGACTTAATGCGGAAAGAATTTAGGCAGCCTTGGTCATATCACTGGATGAGGATGAATATCCTTGACCCTCCCTAGCAAAATAACCTAGGGCAAAATGTGCCAGAGGCAACCACTGGGCCTCTGAGTTGCCATCTGTCACACTTGACATATCATTTCTGTGATTCAAGGTCCCATTGCCACCCATGGGTTTCTAAAGGTTCTCTGTTTGGTGTAGTATCCCGAAATGTTGCCATTATTGTATAAAAATGTTATGCCTGAGCCACTAAGTATTTATAGGACAATATTTTTAATCGTCTCTTCTGTTCTTCCTCCTTCTTTTTAGTTTTTAAACATGTTTTAAAGTTATGCTTATTTGGGAAAAATGTCCTACCACAAACTCTGACTGGGGTGACCTGGGACTTTACTGCACATGGACAGAAGTTGCAGACACTGAGTTACTTTCTCTTTGAATTTCAGAAAATTCCTACACAGAGTCTCATTAACATTCTGATGGAATGGCTCTTCTTGGATTCTTAGTGATTAATATTTGTCTAGAGATAGTCTATTACTCACTACATACTACCATTTTCATCTAGCTATTAAACCACTTTAATAAGTCCTGACCAACTTCTTCCCTAACTGCTATTATCTTTGATCTAGTGAGTAGGTATCATGATAAACTTTATCCTTCATACTGTATGTCTCTATACCTCCCTAAAAAATCCCCAGGTTTATCATATTGCAAATGCAGACTGACCTCTGAGTAAGTATAGTGTGCTTTATGTTCTATTTGTTTTGGAGTCTCTGTATCGGTTATGTAGAAATCCTGTTCAAGATTATGTAATCAGAAGGAATGAGCAATTAATCATGTCTGTCACTGGAACAGGAAAGGTAGTTGTTTCAAGGTTGCTAATATTGACCTTGGAACCAATGGAAACTTCCAGATTTTTGTCATACGAACATCAGTTGAGTCATGTATTTGTGCAATTCAGTCATTAGGCCAAAGTACAAGACTGAATATCTGCCTCGGTCGGATTTGTTAGTTTAAATCTATTGAACTATCTTTGAAACTCAATTTTATTTTCCAGTACATTAGTCATCACTCCTAATCCTACAGTAGTGACAAAGTTAGAAAAATTCTCGCTATGTCTTTATCCAAATCATTGATGATAATGTTGCACAGATTACTTCCATACGAGAGCATAATGGTAACAACAACTGAAATGACAGCAGCTAATGCACACTGTTCTGTGCTTTCTACAAGCTAGGCACTGGACTCACCTCTTCATACCATCTCATGGTTCTCTAGTTTGTATCTTCACCACTAATCTGCAAATGAGATGTTATTAACTACTATTATATGTTGTCTACATTTTACAAATAAAGGAACTGTGGCAAAGAGAGGGTTAAGTAACCTGTATAGCATGGTCACTCAGTAGGTAAATGAAAGTTCTTTCAATATTCTGCGATTGCAACGCATTGGAAACCAGAAAACCACTCAAATTTGGTTCTGTTTTTTTTCAGCAAATGTTTTCTGCCATTTCTGCATGAAGTCTTCTCCCTGATAGAGCAGGAAGGAGGAGGAAGATGAAAAATAATTACTTTTCTCTTTCTCTCTCATCTAATATTATGTGCTGTATAACCTGAGTCGTTGGACTTCTCACTTCCTTGTTTTTCTTCCTCAAATATGGTCACACATCTTCTTTTCTCTCAGTTTGTGTTTGTTCATGTTTCAGTTTATTCTGGGATTTAACCTTCCTGACATTATTCTAAAAACTTCACCCTTTATTTATATTCCTTTCCAGTTTTAAAGCTAACCATGAAAATCCAATCTCATGGGAGACCCCTTGAGCAACTTCTTTGGTCTTTGTCTCTAATTTTTTTCCTTTCCTCAAAAAGTGATCAGAGATTATGGAATGGAAATTTTACTTTCAAAATGGCTTATTTCTTTTAAACAACAGTTCCTTAATGAAAGTTTTGACTCTCTTGTAAACTATTCAGAAACTTCTTTGCTGAAATCTAAGATACATCTGACTCTGCCCTTCTCTGTCATTGATAAGTGAAAGATGAAATTTTCATCTTCTGCATTTGTAACTTTATTTTCCTTTCATTAATATTAAGACCCAAATGAGAAATTCCTTATTTTTGGTTCTTCCATTCGGAGATGTGGGTGAGGTGACTTGCATAATATTTTAACATAAAAACATCTTAATAGTGTTATCTGAAGAATAAAAATAATTCAATATTTTATCAATGTTTTTGATCTTCTTAGTAACTTATTTATTCTTCTTTTCATTGAACAGTTTAAATGCTGTGGTTTGATCAAAGGACCTACTGATTGGGGAAATAATTTTGAAAACCATTCTAAGTCATGTGAATGTCCACGGATGCCAGATTCTTCTTGTACATTGTATCAAGGAATGTATGTTTACAGTCAGGTAAGTACTAGATCAGAGTTCGGCACAACAAGCAATTGTATTATTTTCTTTTCACAATGGAAGTTTCTACCAAATATTGACAAGCAGTAAGTATAATTGGCATCATGACATAAAAATCTAAGGAATTTCCTCAATTAAAAAAATGGATAAATCTTTATTCGAAAATAAAAGCAATATAAAAAGTTAAAGTATTTCATTTTTTTTCTGAGTCTGGCATCATGCAAACCAATTTTAATAGGTCAAAGAAACATTCTACTGCAAGTGGAGACAAAGAACAAATTAGCATGAAAGTTTATTTTGTCCTCTCTTTAGTGACCTTGATCATTATTCTCCTTTTCCCCCCCTATTTCAGCATAAGTTTTAAAAATAAGTATTTTCACCTTAATCTTAAAAGTCATGTTTGTTTGTTTGTTTGTTTGTTTGTTTGTTTGTTTGTTTGTTTGTTTGTTTGTTTGTTTGTTTGTTTGTTTGTTTGTTTGTTTGTTTGTTTGTTTGTTTGTTTGTTTGTTTGTTTGTTTGTTTGTTTGTTTGTTTGTTTGTTTGTTTGTTTGTTTGTTTGTTTGTTTGTTTGTTTGTTTGTTTGTTTGTTTGTTTGTTTGTTTGTTTGTTTGTTTGTTTGTTTGTTTGTTTGTTTGTTTGTTTGTTTGTTTGTTTGTTTGTTTTTAAACCAAAGACTCCCTTTCTTTTAGAAATTGTGTAGGTGTAAGGAAAGGATTCAGCATTTAGGGGTTTAGGTCCTATATTTAATTGTACCTACACATTTGTCTAATTATTGGTGTAATTGAGAAGTTGTCTTGAACATTTAAAGTCAATTGAAAAATATGTTTTATCTTTTATATGTTGTAGATGTCTTATTTTTGTGACTTGTGGGTATCAATATTGTAGAAGTTCTATTTCTTGTTATTGATCCATTTGCCAATATTTATTGACCACTTTCTGTGAGCTGGATCTTCTGCCAGTCATTAGAGATCTGTTCCTCAATAGGGTACAGTGTCTGCACTGATAAGAGTTGGGGTTCAAGAAGGGAAGAGAAAAAGAGTCAATCTCAATCCAAGCAACTGTTGGAATTGCTTGATAGGTGTTTTGGGACCCCATCTAACTCAGTCTTTGGGGTTCAGAATATGACTTTATAAACGACATGACATTTGTCACTTACCATAGGGCTTTATGTAAGCTGTTTCTTCTGCCTGGAAGAAATGTGTACAAAAGTGGCAATTGGAATTAGTATCTCATTTATTTGCTTTTATTTCTCAGTGTCTATTATGCGTCAGACAGAACCTTGCTAACATCAGACATACTTCTGGATCCTCTAGGACAGCAGTCCTCAATGATTTGGGCACCAGGGACCAGTTTCATGGAAGATAATTTTTCAACGGCTAGGGAGGAATTGGGGATGATTGTAGGAATGGTTTTGGGATGATTCAAGTGCATTAATTTTATTGTGCACTTTATTTCTATTATTATTACATTGTAATATATAATGAAATAATTATACAACTCCCATAATGCAGAATCAGTGGGATCCTGAGCTTATTTTCTTGTAACTATTAGATGGCCCCACCTGGGGGCCCCTATGAGAATCTAATGCTGCCCCTGACCTGACAGGAGGCAGAGCTCAGATGGAAACCTGAACAGTGGGGAGTGGCTGTAAATACAGATGAGGCTTCCATTGCTCCCTCATTTGCCTGTCACTCATCTCCTGCTGTGTGGCCTAGTTGGGGATCCCTGTTCTAAGAGATTATCATCTAGTTGGGAATGAGATACTTAAAAGCCATTTTAATTCACAATAAATTAATGTGTATAATATCTGTAGACTACTTGTTTTGGTTTAGTAACTCCTTACTACTGAGGTTAATATATAAAAGGAAATAGAAAGTATCTCAGAAAAAACTTTCCTTTTCCTGACTATTGATCTTTGTCACCGATTTTATAAAAATTAAAGAATCTCTGTTCTTATGGAGAGTTGCTATCACTAATATTTAAAGTAACTCATCAGGAAATAAATTATCTCTCAGACTACAGTGCTACTATGTCTTTTTGTTAAGTAATCACTATAAAGGTTTTATTGTTAGTTTTTAATAGTCTTTTCCTCCTTGTTTCTCTCCACCCTACTTAAGTGTAATGACAAAATATCTATAAGGAAAAGGAAAATAATATGATGCAAATCAATGTATTTTCCATGTAGGATAACGAGGAAATTAGTAAATTCAATCACAGACTGCTGTCTGTCTTCTGTTAAAGATTCAACTCAAAGACGTTTTCCTCAAGACAGATTCTGAAGACTCCTTATCATTATTCCAGGGAGAAAAAAATAAGATATTTCTTGCAAATTTGCACACAATTCTGCTGAATATAGGCTGATAGCTGCACTTGTTTCTCAAAAGGAAATTCATAAATTCATAAAATACTTCCATCTGCTCTGTGTCATTTGCAAGAAGTCTGGAAAAATAAGAAATCTGGATTGGCTTTATTTCTTTCTTTTTTTTTTTTTTTTTTTTTTTTTTTTTTTTTTTCTTTTCCCAAGATAACCTCATTTTCTTAGGGGAGGAAGAGAGAAAAATCCCTCAAGTATAATGAATGTGACTAAGTAGATATAGTCATTAATCTCACAGTTAACCTTAAATAATGTAGTAATTTCCCCAAGTGTTTACCACTTTGGATCAGATGTGAATGGCAAAGCCAATACATTCAGGATTGAAGAGGTAAATTTAAGCTTTATGAAGAGCTTTTATTTTATTTAACATATAACAATACTTTTGCTAGCCTTTTGTACACATATGACTATCATAAGGATGATAAATTCCATGGCAACACAAACAATATCACTTTCACATTGTA